AAGCAAGGAGTTTTCTGAGGAGTTTGAGAGGATCTGAAAAAGGTTTTGCCGGCCAGTAAAAATATTTTGATATGGCAGCTCCAGCACTCGAGCCAAGTGCTGTCTACCACTGACTTAAAGGCATTCATACTCAAACTCCTGCCCTCCACACTGCAGCCTGGCACTGTGGGCACAGACACACGGTCCTGCTGCAAACTCCTGCCCCAAAACTGCAGCCTGGCACTGTGGGCACAGACACACTGTCCTGCTGCAAACTCCTGCCTCCACACTGCAGCCTGGCACTGTGGGCACAGACACACTGTCCTACACTTTGCTGCCCAGTGCTCAAAATTGTCCAGTGCTGTACAGCCCTGATGCTGGAACTGCTGAAACACCCCTTTCCTGCAGGTTATAGGTATCTTCATTAACACTTCCTGTAATAACGGAATGAATGACGTAATGAACTGCTTGTTTGGGATGGAAGCTGGAAGACCCTGCTGCTCTCCAGGAGCAGGATGGAGACCTGTTGCTCGACAGCAGCTTTGCAATCAAGCTCCATCACTCTTTAACCACCCAACCACTCAAACCCAGCCTGCTCTGCAGGCGGGCCATGGGAACTCCACGAGCCCGCTGTGCTTCGCCTCAGTGACCTGGGAGCCTCGTGCTGTGATGTGAGCTGTCTGAGTGCAGGGCTGCGTGCCGGTGCGAAGGAGAGGGTTACTCACATTGGCGAACTCCTTGTTGGTCATGTTCTTCAGCGTGTCCCCGGGGAAGACCACCGAGACGGACTTGAGGGGGAGACAGAGCCCACCCAGGGCACACAGCCCCAGGGTGAGGACAGCCAGGACGCAGGGTCTCATCCTGAGAGCACAGACAGGCTTGAGCTGCTTTCTGCTGAGGAATCAAAGCCTGGCGACTCTGAAGCTCCTGCTGGAGAGTGGATGTGTTCTGCTCTGGGACCTGCAAGGCGCTTATATGTACCTTGAGCCCCGGATGTTTTAGTTGAGTCACTCACAGCCAGCCCCTCTTCCTCCTCCTTCTCTGCTTGCACAACAGTCTGCATTACAGCACACCCACTTGCAGGGGAAAACACACACGCGTATCAAAACAAGCCTTTGCCATGGCTTCAGCAAGGGGAGGGTCTGTGCTGCCTCTGTGTTTTCATCAGTGTTCTTGCCTTATTTGGTGTGGTCCCTGCAGCTCCCAGGTCCCTGAGCGCTGTGTGCTGGAGAGGACCGAGCCCTTCTGCTGGGAGAGCTGGGAACCACTGGCCCCCCAGGCCCCGGTGTCCAAGAACGAATGGCAAGCACACCCCAGAAGTTGTTGGGGTCTCGCCTTCACTGACAGCACAACCCATTTGCTCCGTGGCAAATTGGGTAATTCTTCCTCAGACTCAAAATCAAATCTTCTCAAAAGCGTCATTTCTGACACAGTGAGTGGGATTTGTTGGCAGGGGGAAGGAGGGGTGGATTTTGCTGAAGAGAGAAAGGAGCTGAAAGTCAAACCAGTGTCCTGGTAACAGTGTAGCATGACAATATTCTCCCTTTGCCATGGTCGCATGCACCATTTCCACTGGTGTCCTCTGGATGGTGTGTAACTGGTCATTCTGAAGACATGCGCTCAGGTTGGGCCTGTCAGTGCCATTGCACTCTGAACACCTGCATCAGGTGCCCTCTTGGTCGTGTCTGCTCTGAATTCCACCTCAGTCAAGCCTTCACGGCCTTGCACAGCGTGTGCCCCTCCCTGCTGAAGGAAGGTACTGTAATTGGCAGTGCTCGTGCAAGTGATTACAGTGAGTCATGTCTGCCAGCAGCAGGAATACTGACAACAAAATCTCTGGATTTAATGTGTAGAAGCGCTCAGCTCCAGTTCTCTTGACAATCATTCACAGCAACACACTAGTCAGCCTCTGCTTCCACGCACGTTAGAGCGAGACTGTAGGTTTTTGGGGGGGCGTTTCGACTCCCACCCCTATATTTGTGAGCTGGATCGAGGCGGTGTTCCCTGATGCCGGCCAGGATGTGCGATGAAGACTGGATTGTCTAGCCTGATGACGCAATGCCCTCGCCTCTGCGTTTTGTCGCTTGATGAAGTGTGTTGATTGGGGACTTCCAGGCAATAGGCAATTCCGTTCACCCTTTGTGTTTCACAGAAGCTTGTGCACGTTACCTTTTTTTGAGGACACAGACGAGGTGGTATTTACATAGCCCACATCCTGCTGGTGCAGGATATTCTATTCTTTTCGAGTCCACTTGAGAGCTATTAAAGAACAGCTAAATGACTCATTGAATCAATAATTGACTGAACTGGATCTAGTAATATCTACAGTGGCAGTGAGAAGTGCAGGGTCTGTAGATCTTGGGCTCCTGGCTCTGTGAGGCGAGGAGGAGAAATGCCACTTCACTGCCTGGACACATCTGCCCATCAGACCAGAGAACAGAGGGTGTTCTTTATCCTTAACAGCTCTGTTGAGGGCCCCACGGTACAGAATCTGGGACACACTGCCCCAGTGTGCAGCAGGGCTGGGGGATCAGAGGGCTCTTGTCTAGGAGTTTCTACAAGATCAGTGTGTTTTCAAATAAGGCATATTTTATCAATGCCTGTAATCCATTTAACAACACAAATTGTGATGTTTTGATCATGGAAAGAGGCAAAGCTGCTGTTGTATCACAAAAAATGAGCTCAGTTTAAGCACAATCTTTGAGTACCTGATGCATTTATGGCTGTTGTCTGTGCTGTGGCCCACTGGCTCTGTAGTTACAGTACTCTTCAACTGTCAGAAGTCATTGTGTTGCAGTGATTGCAATCAACTCCCAGGAAAAGAGAAGCAGAGAAGATTTCTCGAGAAGACCTGGCCTCCCTTGTAGCTGGGTGTTGTTGAGTATCGGATGGGAAAAAGCACAAAGCAGGCTCTCACGGTGAGCGAGGAGTGCGTCAAACAGTCACACCCTCCTCGCCTGCCATCGGCTGGCTGTGTCACCCTGAGTCAGGATCCTTCTAAACTGGGACAGTCGCCGATCCGCTGCTGTAACAAGCCATCTGTCTCCGATGCTTTCTTACGTACTTTCAAAAGATCGTATTTTCAGTGATAGGTGCACATGCATGTACAGAAGGGGCATGTAGAATTCAGAGTGGATCTTCCGTAGTTACAAGGAGGAAGGTCCTTTTTTTAAGTGGACTTCCAGCAAGGGGAGCTCTGATCAGGTGTTGCTTCCCCCTGCAGCCGAAAAGGCCTGTGTGCACATGAAGAAAAAGAGCCGTTTCCTTGCCTCGCGTGTAGCACTGCATCACGTTCTTACAAATAATCGCTTTGCATTGCGTACGAGGCAGAAGCACAGCTTCGATGTTCTGATTTAGAAACCGTGCTCTTACAACATGTCACCCTCCCGTTTGTTAAGAATTTCCTTTTCAGATTTTTCTTCGGTGGTCTCTGAGTGGCTCCGCCAGGAGAGGGCCTGGGCGCAGGTGTAGCCCTTGGTTCAGATAGGACGGGTTCGAGGCTGTGTCTCTTCTCCTCCGATCAGTGCTGTTGGTGTCTGCGATGCCTGTGACCTGAGATGAGTGACGGGAGCCTGCCTGCACTTCCTCCTCCTCCACAAGTGTGCTTCTAATAAGATCATGCGTGTTGTTTCATTTTCCTTTAGTTACAATTGAGATGATCTCTAGGTATCAAGTGTTTTCGAGGCCAAATGATACTACAGCTCATCTTCTAATGTATCTGTAGGCATGTCGTTGGCCCAGCCTGGAGCTCAGGTTTGTGGATGGGAAGACAGGTGATCTGCTGGGGGTGCTGGTGAGACTCATGCTTCGACTGTGGTGCGTCTTGCACAGTCTTACTGATAGTACTTTGTGTAAAAGGAGTCTGGTGCTTTCTGGGAGAGCTAATTAACGGTTAGCAGAAAGCATATCCGCCCATCGGCACATCCTTGGAGGGGTCCTGGATCTGTACAACATCCAGGCAGGAATGAAGCTCGGGCATACAGGCATGTTGGCAGTTACAGTCTTGGATCAAAAGTCCCCCTAACCCTCCCTTCCCTGCCTGCGCACCTCTCACCTGTAGAAGGCTCTCTAGCAGAAGGTGCCTTGTTAGTGTGATGCTTGAATTTGCATTATGAATACAACCAGCTGCCACTCTACAAGTACTGATGTTACTACATTAATTACTGCTGTTTAGCCAGTAACTGTGACTACTAAAGCTACTGCTACTACCTCACCTGCTGGTATTGATTCTAAGAGCAGCAGGATACGTGATACTCATGTGATGCCTAATAATTCTCCTGCTACAGCTACTGCTATTAGAACAACAATTGATTCAAATTATAATACCACAGCAACTTCCACTGCTACAGAATTACTACTAAACCTGTTGTAACTGCTTTCCATGATAATAGCATAATAGCAATTGGGATTGGAGTCTTTTAATGGCCCTCCACGGTGCTAACACAAAGCCTTCAAGTGAACGAGTAATCGTTTAGCATTGTTATTATGATGATGATGAGTTATGTGGGTGTTTGTGCTGGAAAGTTGGAAAGCCGTTTTGGTGACACAGGATATAAAAAGAGTAACGAACTGGGGGGGGGGGTCATTTGAGCCATGTCATTCCAAGTGCTTGATGACTGAAAATACTCGTCTGAAGTTCATTTAGCAAAATATTAATTGCTCACATACAGTAGGTGTATTCTGTCACTCTCTTGTACAGCATAATCGGTGTTAACGATAAAAATTAAAATGGGGTAGATGCTTTTCAAGTCATCCCCAAATTGAAGAAACACGCATTTTAAATGAGTTAATCCTTCCTTAAAACGTTTTGATCTGTTGCGTCTAAATCATCAGAGCTTCATTCCAAATGCCTGAAGGAAACCTACTGTATGTACAGCACATGCACAGATAATTGCTACCTAATCTTTTCCCTGGCATGTGTTCACAGTCAAGGCTGGGCACACATGACAGTGGTGAGCTGAGGTACTAGGAGGGTGATGGGCAATGTTCAGAACTTTAATAAGGACAAACTGGATCACACTCTTTATTTTAATGATGCTCTTTAAAGAAAAGACCATACAGACTTTTGACCAGACAAATTGATGAAATTGAATCACTCAATATTCTATATTATTCTGCAACATTAGAGTGGCCAGGGTTTGGCTATATATATATTTTAAATAAACAGATATGGACAGACTATTCATCCGACAAATGACAGAAACAAGGGCACAGTGGGACAGACTGTAAGATTGTAATCCACTGCAAGCTGTTTGAAGTTCTCTTTGTTTTGTTCATGCAGCCCTGCTGCTGTATTTCAGCACTCTGCTATTGCAGAACTGCTGGTCTTCCTGGTGTTCAACTTGCTGGGGCTGGCATCCTGTCCAGTAAATTGTGCCAGATCATCCTCAGGAAGATAACTCAAGCGCTGCTGGACAGGACCGGCAGTGATGGTGACACCAAGGCAGTATTAAAACACCCAGAGGTTCTGCACAATGAGGCAACAGCACATTAGTAAACAGACACTTCCTTTGTCTTGCACGCGCTGTGATTAGTTAATAACTATTGACATGATGTAAGCAAGCCTGTGTTTGTGTGTCAGACACAATAATGTCCTGGTGCAATTCCTTTTTTTTTTAAGCAAGCATTTGATGATCTTGCTGAATTGTGTGGGTGTATGGTTCTGTAGCAGGGTTTGTACCAGACCACTGTGAGCATGGAAAACAAAAAGCTTGCAGATGTCAATACATATAAATCAATATCATAGTATTAATAGGGCCTTGGATACCTTGTAAGGAGAGAGCAGCAGACACATAGACTACATGAGCTGTTCTCTGAAACAGCATAAAGTGTAATATGTACTCTATATAATATTAATGGTAAACAATATATTTGCATGAACAGGACTGATGAAAGCAGCCAAAGGCTAAAATTCACAGAAGAATCACAGAAGATGCACTACATCCAGCACTGGATCAATCAGTGCTGACAATGCTGACGATATAGATATCCACCCATCCGTTCTCCAACCACGTTATCCACTACAGGGTTGCAGGGGAGCTGGAGCCCATCCTGGTAAACAAGGGGCACTAGGCAGGGTTCACCCCGGACGGAACGCCAGTCCAAGGCGGGGCACACACACTCACACCAGGCCCAGCTTTCCCAGAAGCCATTAACCCACCAGGTCTGGGGGAGCACCTGGATGAAACCCACACACGCACAGCGCTCACAGATAAGACCCCAGGGACCGAGCCCACAGCCATGCTGAGCGCTGCGCCACTGTGCCATCCTGATATGGATATCCTTATATATATAATGGAGCAAAAGTTCAGGAGGAGGTCAGGCCCTAATCTCACCCACAAACCCACAGTCTCTCCCCTCATTAAAGGGAGGGAGGGTCCCCCAACAGCTTCATTACGGACTGGATGCTGTTTTCCTCAACCAGGTGAGTTACCCCCAATACACCTCTTTAGTCGAATCTCACCTCTTGTCCAGTTTAATCAGGGCTTGGCAGAACTCCTGATGGAAGCCACGCTGGACCTGTGTCTCTTCACAGTAACACGCTGTGGAACATGAAGCAATATTTGGATTTTTCTTGCATCTGTGTGGATTTCCCGTTGATCTTCCCCTCGGGGGCTCTTTCCAAATACAGAAACCTTCCCCATTTTCTGCGGAAAATCCCACTCATTCCCTCCGTTTCCGAAACGTGACTTGGGACAAGGAATTGATCAGTCACGATGGCTTTGAGGGCAGGCGTTGACTGCCAGACTTGCGCAGTGACAGCAGGCTGTGTGCGTTAAGAGTGTTGCACATATGAATGATCATTTCAAATCTGGAAAACTGTGGTGAACATTACCAAGACTATGAAACACTGAATATTACAGCTGAAGGAGGCAGTAAAGAATAAACCACATATGACACTACTGCACAGACTGGCTGGAGCAGTGATAATAGCTTTTTATCATTGCTAAGTATCTAAAACTCTAGAGCAGCATGTAAAATAGCTGACAAAAGAAAGCTCTTTAATTGAACCAAGCTGGGGAATGGTACTAATCACAAAGTGGCTGTTAACCAGTGGAGTCAGGAAGTGAGCTGGCGCTGCTGTGTGTAACGGTGCTCAGTGCATTGCCCAAATCTCCCAGTTCCCAGACCAGGTGATGTGTCAGCCAAAAACACTTACCACTTACTGGAACTCATTTAAGAAGTCGGCCACAGAAGCTGAAGGACAGTGAGGACAGAGGTCCCTGTTATCACTCTGGATGGTGGTTCAGAGGCGGAGACCAGCCGACATCAAGGTTGCAGACGCACCTGTGGTTTTAGAGTCCAGGAGCTGGAATAAGTGTGTGGACCTGCCTGTCCGGGCAGGAGGAATTCCCCTGGAGCTCTGGGAGGATGCAGAGAGCAGCTCAGCACCACAAGAAAGAGCAGGAGACCAGCCAAACAAGCACACTCCGTGTTCCTCAGCATGTTGCTGTGGGCTGGGAGGATGACTAAAGAAAAAAAACCCACATTAGGAGGTGACTTTTCAATAGCTGAAATAGCTGAATAGGAAATAGCTGAGGAGCTTCTCTTTATTCTCCTGTCCCTGACCCCCTTTAGAAAGGCCACAGACCACTGTGCTGAGCTCAGGCCCTCATTACAGATCAACCTCTTCCTTCTCCATGCATGGAAAGCACTGTTTTCTGCAGCTGCAAAATTGTGTGACCTTTGTTGCAGGCTCCAGGCAGCACTGGGAGATAACTGCTAACACAGTAAAATAAATAATCCTTACCATAGTAAATCTGCTTAGCTTGAACTGAACTTGAACTTGAACTTAATTGCCATATGTGACCGGCACATGTACTGGTACAATGGAAGTCTGACTTACAGAAAGAAAGTCTCTCGAATGTTAAACAAAAGTGTAAAACACTAAGTGCAAACAGTGCATCAAGACAACATACAAACAGTAGACAATGTACAAGTAAACAAGTAAACAGTTTGAATGTAAACAATGCAGACGTGTAAAGAACGACTGCAGGTGTGCAATAAATAAAATAACAATGAGGTAGATGGTGCAGGTGTGGTCTGAGGGGTCCAATCGCACTGCTTGTGGGTAGAAGCTATCAAGGAATCTGGTGGTAAGCGTCCATATGCTCTTGTATCTCTTGCTTGAGGCCAGTTGGAGAGCTCATGCCCGGGGTGGTGACTGTCCTCTGTGATGGCCAGAATTCTACCACGGCGGCGATCCCCACAGAGCTCTTTAATCTCTGTGTGTGTAGTGAGTGGGGTGGGGGGTGAGGTGCGGCTTGGACCCCAGTCCACACACAGCTGGCTCACTCCCCTGCTTTGCCTCGCCTGACCGCCTGCTCGGGGGAGAGTGCACATTGCTTCCTTGCTTCCCATGCGACTGTGGGAGCTGTAGCAGAGTCGAGTTGAATGACATTCAGTGCTTTCAAATTGGAAGCATATAAAAACTATTGAGCCAAAAGATGCAAACTATAATCATCGCCATCATCCTCTCCAGCCTCATCATCAGCACCATCACCTTCACGTTCAACACCACCACCATCATCATCATCATCATCATCACCCTCATCATTACTACTATCATCATCATCAACACCATCATCATCATCAACACCACTATCATCACCCTCATCATTACCACTATCTTCATCAACACCATCATCATCAGTATCTCCACCATCATCAACACCACCATCACCACTGTCATCGTCTCCATTATCTCCACTTTCAACCTCAACATCATTTCTCCACCATCGTCACACTCATCATCATTTCCACTTTCCATTATAACCATAATGCTGAAGTGTTCATAAATTAATCTAACCAGATTTACAACATAAACAGCTCTTATTATTTATATATATATAATCTCTTTTTGCATAAAACTCTGTCTTAAACACACATTGAATGTGTTTTATTTTTCAGAGCTCTGGTATATTGTTTATATATACAGTACACATCCTGTATTCTGTGAAGGATGTATAATGCATTCATTGTGCCTTCTATCTTTGTATCTGCCTTACCACCCACAGTCTGCTTTCCAAATCTGGAAATCAATATGAAAGAAAATGTACTTTTTATCCATGTATGAGTATGAGGCTAGAATATTGCGTGGTTGGGGTGTTTCCAACAATGTATTTCAGGGAATATGTTCCAAAACTGACTTCAGGGATTAGAAACAAACAAACCCCTCTTGTGGTTAGTGATGACATCTCATCCAGGAGATGGATTAGCAATACATTCGAGGTACCAGTCTGGGACAGAAAATTGGGTCACAGCGTTTGTGAACCAATTTGTCATGTTTTCATTTGCAGTTCTAAGAAAACAAGCAACAGCTCTGATTATGTTAGGGCGTGATAACCATTTGTTCCAAAAACAGAAGTCATCGCCTCTTTTCTTTCCTTGCAAAATAAAAAGAGCGAGAAAGGAAATACAGTATGAAACTGAATGGCGAGATTATCCAGGAAGTTGGGTTACGGAGGTGTTGAAGCTGGGGTGAATCAATAGACTTCAGTTTCATCACCATACCAGCTGCAAGCAAGCCTGGACTCCACATGGATAGGCAATGCAGCATTGTTATAGGGAATAATCACCGTGGTATTACATACTGAAATAGTCCAGTCAGTTGTATGCAAGAGAGCGTGTGTGCTGCTCATCTATAACATCTCACAATCCTCAGGGTATAGTGAGTAGAAGGGAGATCTCACTAGTTGTAGTGACTTCAGGAAACAAAGCAAACAAGCAAAATACTTCTCAATCCATCAGACTATTTTTTTTTAATGACACAAATACATACATGCTCGATTGACACATTCGTTACTGTGCAGAACATCATACGTGCTCAGCTAATTTATTGCACCATGCATCCTGCAGGTGATCCGAATGTCTCTGTTTAACTCAGGGTAGGGATTAGGACTGGGATGTGCTTCGGATTTTGGAATACAGTTTGGGTTAGGGATTGGGATTTAAGGATATGCTAAAAATCTCCAAAATGCTTAGAAAGCATATGTCTCATAACAATATATGCATATAGTTGGTTGCTTATATGATCATTTACAGCACAATATTGTGCTGGGCAGTACAATGAGAGCTCCAGGTCACATGGTATACAGGTGACACACAGAGGACGATCCACAGCGCAGTGCCAGGCACCTCTCCTGTGACTCCTGGAAGAGCTATGATTAGCCTGTTGTGTTTTAGTGGAGATCTATAGAGGCCTTGGGCAGTACAGGTACATGTAAAATGCATTGAGACCCCAGTATAGGCAAGTGCTCTCAAATCCCGTATTTTCTGTGAGTCTTTGTAATTAGATAGATAACACTTTATTGATCCCGTAGGGAAATTGATGTGTTACAGCAGTCCAGCCCAAGACAAGCAAAAACAGACATCAGAATAGACGGAAAGTTATACATAATAAATATAAAATAAATAAATGAAAATAAATACATACAGTAGGTGTGTGCAAACGATGATGATCATGATTAGCTGCATCACTGTGATTCTTCTACCTTTTATCAGGAACATCAGGAAATGTGTTGCAATATCCCTCCACAGAACAGCGAGGGAAAATCGCCCGGCACAACGCGGTTCCCTTCAGCTTTTCCCTCTGTGGCGGGAGGAAGAGACAATAATGTAGCAAGCGGCCATGCTGGTGAGCCCCTCACTGAAGGAAGAGAGAACTGACAGCCAGGGCGGAAAGAGAGCCTGAGATCGGGACCGAACCCGTGAGTCTGCAGGCATGCAGGGCCTGTCAAGTGGACCTAAATATAGGAGCCTGACATTCAGCATGCAGCGGAAAACAGGCTGTGGTGTTGAAGGGGGTGTGGCGCAGTTTCCTGTGGCCTAGTGCGTAGGGGCTATGGTCTTGGTTTCCTTGCAGCGCTCGTGAAGCCAGACGTATCGTATGAGGGTTAGACTGATGTCTGATGTCAGAACCTCGTCTTCTGAAATGGACCCAGGAAAAGGCCAGGAAAGAGAGTGTGTGTGTGTGTGTGTGTGTGTGTTTGTGTGTGTGTGTGTTGCAAGAGAAGACATGGGGGACCAGCTTCTCCACAAAGGGGAGAATTTGAACACACTCATCTCCACCCTGCAGCTGCCCCTGGGTTCACTCCTCTCTGACTGGGGTTCGAGTCTCCTCGTCCTGTGGCCAGCGGGCTGCCCGTTAACCAAGGGGGTTAAGCCAGACGTTTCTCACCCAGTATTCTTAAAAGTCACAAAGCATTCAATCTGTGGATGTTGTTGTCCCTAATGACCTACCAATTGGACTAGATGGGCCAAACTCTCAATTGTATCAGATGGGCCCCTTTCACCTATCTCCTTTCTCATGTTAATGAACAACAAATGGTTTTGATTAGGAGGGACATTTTCAAATATGTGTCAGTCAAGCTGTCCTGCGAGAGAACATAAGGTGACTTTAGCATCAATGCACGCAGATTTCTGAATACAGACCAGGAGCTGCATGGGGCGTCAGAGCCTGATTCCGGATTCTGGAATCTCCTCTGACATCACAAGCAGAAAGGAAAGACAGGGGCGTGTCAGTCTTTGTGACATCACATGCGGTCTACACTCATTCTCATTGCTTTCCAATTACAGGCTTCTGTTACCCATCTCTGTGACTGGCCTGCTGGAGCCTTCCGCAACACCTTTTACATCCTGCTAAGGAGACAACAGCAAGAAATGACAGCCTGTTCCAAACACCTCATTACTCAGTAGTATCAATAAATCTTTCTGTATTTTTGTGTGGCGCAGAGGTGCTCTGTCTGGGGGTGAAGGTGACTGATACCTACTTTATTCTAGGTGACTTCACTCATTTCCTTCTGACTCAGTCGTTGACAGATGAGATCATAATATTGCCTTACTCAGAACACTCATGTACACAACAGCCGTTCAAGCCAGCCTACTACTGACGGACACACCAAAACAACTTAGCAGTATTTTTTGGAGACAAGAGCACTCTGCCCTTGTGTTCTCAGAGCTGTGATTGTAAATTAAAATGGTTTAGACAGTACATGGAGGAAAACCAAGGGAAAACAATAAATCTCCCACCAACGTTTGATAATACCACACAATTTCGTACTGTAAGGTTTTTTTCTGCGTATTTGCTTTAAACATTTCACTTTGTATGAACACTAGAGACTCATGTGTGAGTCTAGAGGTCGAGGCGCCGTCGCTATAGGAGATTGGGAGCCAGATGCATGTTCCCGTTAATATGTTTTAATTAAAGTGCTTGACTTGTTGTGTCTCTGAGTGCGAAGGCGGGTGATCCCTTCCTCCCTGTGAAGGGTAGCGGAGAAACGGTGGAGGTGTCTCACCGTGACTGTTTCCCGGGGTATAATTCCCACTCCGTCAGTAGAGGCTCTCAGGGCCCGCAGGGCGACTGTGCTGTCCGGACAGCGGCGTGCGGTCAAGGCCGGCAGAGCTGCAGTGTCCCCTGTGACTCGTTGGGTGCCAGCGGATCTGGCGAAGTCTCGGAGGGACTTCTCTCCTCCGCTCCTCCGAGGGAGGGCTGGGGCAGGGAGCTGAGATAATGGAAGAGCACTGGGGGCTTTTAAAGTGTTTCAGGGAACAACACGGAGCCAAGATCTTGCTCTTCACCGAAGTGGTGTACATACTCGGACTGCAAGAGGTTATCTCTGAAGTGCCCTGAGAGATGTCTTCATGTTTGTGGGCAAAGTGTACTTACGATCTTATACTGTAGCTCACCCACCACAGTCCATAAATCTTTTATTTATTTCGTTCTTGGACACCGGGGCCTGGGGGACCAGTGGTTCCCAGCTCTCCCAGCAGAAGGGCTCCTAACAGACAGAAACCCATCATTAGGTCACAGGCAGCGAGGGCTCCTGGGGTGAAGAAATATTCCCCAGTGCCTCAGGACGATGAGGAACCATCAGTGTGAGAAAGCATGTGGGCAGGAGTCACTGAGGTGAGAGCCTGACTGTATCATCACAGTGTACAGTAATAACTCCAGATTAAAAATAAATCATGACACAATAGTGTGTGAACTGCAGCACATCAATTGTCCTGGGATGGGGGACAGACGACGGTGTGTTCAGTCACTCAGTGTCAGGGTGCTCGGCTGCAGTGTGTTCAGTAGCTCAGTGTCAGTGTGCTGGGCTGCAATGTGTTCAGTAGCTCAGTGTCAGTGTGCAGGACTGCAGTGTGTTCAGTCACCCAGTGTTCAGTCACTCAGTATGTTCAGTCGCTCAGTGTCAGATTGCTGGGCTGCATCTGGTCTACAGTGTGTTCAGTCACTCAGTGTGTTCAGTAGCTCAGTTATAGTGCTGGGCTGAAAATTGTCAGTAACTAAATGATGATGAGTTTGAAATTTTATTCCTATAACAGTGTATTTTGAAGCTTTTGTTTAAGTTTACTTTTATTTAAGTTTACAACAACTTGTGAAGAGGAAATAGTTAGAATTGTGGGAACAGTTTTTTTCATTAAGTTGGTCAGTTTGTGGAATCAGCTGGAATTTGTCTGGAGTAAGAAAACATGTAGCACTTTTCTTGCTGTGGGTGGAAGTTTTGGAAAAACACAAGAAAAAAACCCTCTTTCAACACTACTTATAGGTTTCATAAGCCTTCGTCTTCCTTACGTTTTCCCTGGCCTGTCCCACATGCTGGAGGGACTTCCCATGTGCCCAGGGACAGGAATTTACTCCTCACTGCTCGTTACTCAGACAGCTGATTGAAACCTGGCGTGAATCAGTGCCGATGTTTTATGTAGACCAAGTAACATCACCAGGAGGTTTAAGAGCACAAAGGCAACTAGAGAGTGAATCATGACATCTAATCCCAGGTTAATTGCTTATCCACATGAATTCAAAAGATCTCTTTCTTGTTTTTGTGACTTTGCCTATGTGGCTTTTCAGTATAGGAGAATGTTGTATGCGAAGGTGAGTCAGGGTTGTAGCTGGTGTATCAGGACTGGGCTGTGTGTGTGAAGGAGCCCGTTGCTCTGTGGAACTGTTTCAGAAAGCCTGTCGCAATCAGGCTATGATCTGTTGCTGTTTGTATTCGAACACGATTGACCATTTTCTGCATTTTACTTCACACTAAAGTTCTCCAGTAAAATACACAGCTTTATAAATGGATACAAAAGCAAGTTACTATGGCTAAAAACATCAGCCAGATAAACTAAAGTGAGCAGTATGTACTGCATTTCACATCCTAAAGGGGTTACCATAATGATCACTGACCCTTTCATCTAAAGTGCTTCTCTTAACAAGTATTATTTAACCCAACAAAGTTTAGCACTTCATTTACAATTTGTTTCCCACGTGCTAAAGGATAATAGCAGCGTTTCCATGGGGCATTAATACTCCTGCAAGCTAAATATTTGCAGGTATTTAGAAACGGTGTGGTCGGATTTCATCATTCTCACCCTTTTGCAGTAAAGTTACAGCCCATCATTTAGGCTGCTCTCTTCCAGCCAGTGTGAAGAAAGTGTTGTGATGTGGCCACGGCCGTTTCGGAATCGAAACCTTTTTAATGTGTGAAAACGACGAGCTAATTGACAGAGACAGTTCCCCTTGAACAAAGCAGTCCCTTCACGTGAAACAAGAGAAACCGTCGCTCAGTTAAATGACGCCAGGACTAAGGACTGCTGAAGGTTATTTTAAATCAAGCCTGTCCCCGGAGCGAAAAACATATTTCGTTTTTTTTTGCCTTTCCCTAACAGCGTCCCATCCACGCTCTCCAAAGCAGAGAGCAATACCTGGCTCGTCTGAGATCGTGACGCCTGGGTGCGGGGCGGGGTGGCTGGGCTCGGGCTGGAGCGGGCTGCCTGAGGCCCGGCTTGGCTCTGCTCCGGCTGGGGGGGGTGGGCACCCCGGGGAGCAGACGGCAGCTCTCCCGAGGAAACTGTCGCCTGACGGGAGCACTGGGAAGTGCCGCCAAGCCTGCTGGAATCGGAGGGACAGAGGTGTGCGCGGCGGTGGGCTACACCCCCCCGCGGGCAGCAGGAAGACCCGGGTACAAAGCACAATCGTCACTGGTCTCGGATCACACGCGGGCCCCCTGGTGTGCAGCCAAGTCGGGGTGCTGCCTGCCGGTGCTCCCCCACTTGTGCGCTCAGGATTCATGTCTCACAGGCTTGGGAAAACAAGAAAAGACACAGGAAAAAGTTTTCAGGGATCCGTCAGCGTGGTGGCGGCGGCACTTGTCCTGTTCCAGCCACACAAACGACTGTGGCGAATTCGGTGACATCATGAGCGGCGTCATTGGGCGCTATTTTCTGCCTGCGGTGGTGGGAACAGCCCAGGCAGCCCGGTGCCCTGGCACCATGTCACGGCCGTCGTGTGACAAAGCTGAAGAGCACATCGTTGGGAAGATTATTGCTCGGTTAACCACCCCCGTAATGAAAGAATAGACTCACTGCATACGCTCTTCAATTGGTGTACAAACACACCACAACCCGATGTATCCACTGTGTGAGGAATCACTTTGTTATAGACGAAAATGAGGGTAAACTGAGGAACAGTGGCTGAGAGTAAGAAATAACAATATAAGATTTCTAGAGACAGATAAAGATTAGGGCTCGTCTGTGCAGCATAGTGCTTTTGAAAAGCTCTGGACAATCACTGTGGCCCTCTGCTCTGGACAATCACTGCGGCCCTCTGGTCTAGACAATCACTGCGGCCCTCTGGTCTGGACAATCACTGCGGCCCTCTG